AAGGAAGACCTTTCTCTCTGTCTCTCTCTCTCACTGTCTAACTCTGCCTGACAAAAAAAAAAAAAAAAAAAAAAAAAAATTAAGAAAGAAAAAGTAGTCATAACTAAATCAGAACTATAAGATGGATATCTGATGATTTCTTATTGAAACTTTCGCAAAATTTCTCTTGGTTAATGAGAAGAATGAGCAAGAGCATTGTCATGGTGGAGGACTCTGGTCAAGATTTCCTTGGTGATTTTCTGCTAAAAGCTTTGAGTGACTTTCTCAAACACCTCTCCTGGTAAGTACATGTTCGTTGGATTTCCAGGAAGTCAGCAGGCAAAATGATTTGAGTAACCCAAAAAACTGTGATATGACTTTTGCTCCTGACTGCGTTTGCTTTGACTTGGACACGTCCACGTTTTGGCTGTCATTGCTCCGACTGTGGTTTGTCTATGGACACTTGTGAAGCCATGTTTCATGTTCTCTTCCAATTGGGAAGAAATGCTTCAAGATCTGGATTCTACTTGCTGAAAATTCCCACTGAATCCAGTACACTTGTCTGAAGCTGATCTGAGTATAAGTTTTGGAATCCTTTGAGCATAAAGTTTGCTCTAGTTTAATTTTTCAGTCATTGATATGGAGTTGAATATTATTTCTGCTGTAAATAATTGGTGTTTCTCAGTTAATAGCAGGTCTGTTTTTTTTTTTTTTTCAGAAACTAATGTGGATAGTGTCATTCTTTCTGAAAACAAGCTGTTCATTTGTAAGCTTCTCATTTCTTTGGGGTATTATCCCCATAAGATAGTCACAAACATCAATGATTTCACCATTCTTACACTCAAGTTCCACCATCAAGTTGATGTGTGTTCTTGCTTCAGTTTTAGTAGAATTAATGATGCTTTGATAGTGGATATTTTCACATTAATATCTTTTCTTTCTTTGTGAATCGAACTAGTTCCTGTTCAGATATGTTATAACAAGTTAGTGTGAGTTTATTTTGGTACAAAAAGTAGAATCCCATGTATAGTTTTTGCATAACCTGCTGAAGACCCCTCATATGTTCACTGCAGCCATGGAGTGAGAGGACCGTGTTCTAAAGATTCTTAGCCTGCCTCCCCATTTAAATTGTTTTTTCTTGATCTTGTCTATTTTCAGTCTTTGTTGTCATTTTTTTTTCTCACTGTTGATTGCAGGGTAGAAGCTGTATGTTTTTCTTATCAGTCCTGATACTACCTGTTGCAATATGTTGCTCTAATATGTTCTAGTACCTATGAAAAATAACTTTACATATATTTAAAATGCATTTCTGATAAAATGTTTATAAACTTATAGGATACCTATTCTCTTAACCTTAAGTTTTAGAGATTATTATTATTATTTTTTGACAGGCAGAGTTAGACAGTGAGAGAGAGAGAGAGACAGAGAGAAAGGTCTTCCTTCTGTTGGTTCACCCCACAAAATGGCCACTACAGCCGGAGCTGCGCCGATCTGAAGCCAGGAGCCACACGCTTCCTCCTGGTCTCCCATGCGGGTGCAGGGTCCAAGCACTCAGGCCTCCTTCCTGGGCCACAGCAGAGAGCTGGACTGGAAGAAGGGCAACCGGGACAGAGCTGGCGTCCCAACCAGGACTAGAACCTGGGGTGCTGGCGCCGCAGGCGGAGGATTAGCCTAGTGAGCCACGAGTTTTAGAGATTATTAAGGTGTCTTGCTTGGATCTGTGGTAGGATAGCCAGTGAATGAGGGAGCTGAAATTTGATTCCAGGCCCTTGGAGACTCTAACCCTAGTACTCTTTCTTCCCCATCAGGTTAATTGTTTCTTCCAAGTTCACATATAATGGTTGGTTAATAAGAATTGTCCTCCAGGGTGACTAATTACTTATACATACATAACTAGATAGACATCTTTTTCCTCTGCTAAGAAAATGGAATATTTTGGATTCAGGTAACTTGCAAAAAATTTAAACATACAACCAAAATGATTGCCACAAGGTGGCATTCCTTTCAGCGGAAAAAGAAAATGAGAACCTGCTGCAGTCTATCAGAAATGTCTTACTATCTTCTGCATTACACGAGCTAGGACTGTTGAACTGCGAAAATGCAGACTAGAGACTTCAAAATGAGTAATACTCAGTCTGGTCCACTGAGGGCTCCTATTGGAAAGATATTTCCACTAGTAAAAGCTCTGATGCTCTGACTTTCAGTCTCTCTTAGCAACTGTAACTTGCGCTTGTCTGTTTTTAAAAAATTTATTTATTTATTTATTTGAGAGGCAGAGTTACAGAGAAGGGCTTGGAGAGGCATCTTCTATCTGCTGGTTCACTCCCTGAAAGGCCACAAGAGCCAGGGCTGAGCCAGGCTGAGACCAGGAGCCAAGAGCTTCATCTGCATCTCCCACTTGAGTGGCAGAGGCCCAAACATTTGGGCCATCTTCTGCTGCCTTCCCAGCTGCATTAGCAGGGAGCTGGATCAGAAGTAGAAAGGCTGGGATCTGAACCAGCACTCCCATTTGGGGATGCTGGCGTGCCAAGCAGAGGCTTAACTAGCTGGACCTCAACACTGGCCCCAGTGCTTGTCCTTTTGATTCATTTCTTTGTCTCCCTGACCTTCATATTGTTGTCTACTATTCTCCAGGGAAACAGAGCAATTATATTACCATGTATAGAACAATTATATTACCATGTATTAGCTCACCTGTTTATGCAGCTGAGAAATCCCATAATCTGCTTATTGCAAACTGGAAACTCAGGGAAGCTCATGGTGTCATTTCAAAGGACAGACAGTGAGCCAGTAGAGTGTATTCCTATCTCAGTCTAATGTCTTAAGAACCAGGAGTATTAAGGTGGGGTAGTTGATATAATAGCTCAAGAAGACAGGCAGGGAGGGACTATAACATTCTCCTGCCTCCTTTTTTCTGTTCAGGCCCTTGAAATATTGGATGGTGTCCACCTACATTGGGAAGGGCAAACCATCTGACTTAGTCTACAAATTTAAGTACTATCTACTGTTTTGAATAGCTCTACAGATGCATCAGAATTTGAATTGGTTATTAGGCATTCCATGGTCCATTCAAGTTGACATATAAAATTCTCTATTACATCTGCTAATACAAAATAGTGAAGTTGCTGCTTTAGGTCTGTTTTTCTCTTTACAACCTTAATGACCTTTTAAGTTCATCCACCATCTACTTACCTCATGGATGAAGACTTCACAGTAGTTTGTGTCTGCAATAGAAAGAATAATTACCACTATCTGTTTTGCAAGGTCATTATGGTTGTTCAACTATACCTATTGCTGTGACTTATACTTTCACCAGAAATGCTGGTTTTTGAGAATATTAGTTAATATCTGTGGGGAGCAACTGAGACTAGACTAAGTTACTGGAATTAAGACTTATTCTATGCATCTGCTCTCCCACAATATGGCGCTGGGGAGGAGTAAACTTCTACGCAGCTGCCTCTCGCCAATTTGACTGATAAGCTGCAGGAGCTGATCCTGCTCCTGATTGGAGGAGAGCAGCATGCTTGGCGTGTGGGCAGCAGAGTTGGGATTGTTGGAAGAGGACTATAAAGGAGGAAACAACATGCACCAGGAACATCTGAAGGAACACCTGAGCAGCCCCCGAGAGAGCGAGAGAGCCAGCGGGTGGTGTGCCGCTCCCCCGCGGAAGCGGGGATAGCGGCGGGGGGGGGGGGCGCCCCTCCACGGAGGTGGAGGGGCTGGCAGCCAACCCGGGAAGGACCAGCAGCAAACCTGGGAAGGGCCGAGCAGACAAAAGAACAGCGCAGGGTCCAGTGTCGTTCCTCCGCGAATGGGGGAGCGACAAATATCACTCCTTGTAATACACATTTGTAAAATTCAGGTACTCTTTTATTACCTGATGGCCAGTAATGATTTTTATTTTGAGAAAGATTACTGTTATCATAAAAAAAATGGTTTGAGAAAAGAAGCATAAACTTTTAAGTATTTTCTTCCACTAAGCTCACTTTGGCATAGATTCTCAAACTTTGTTCCACCGAGTATCCAGGATACCTGTGAAGAACCCCAGGGATGATGGCAGGGAAGATCAGAAATACGCACAGGTGCACAGGCCCTCACCTGCTTAACCAGAGCCACTCAGCTGGAACTTGCTTTGTATTTCAGGCTCTAGGTAAACTTTCATTTGAGAAAAGAATTCTGCTCCCAAAGTTTAGAAACCACTCATATACTGAAGGGTTGAGAGAAGGTGATTTCTTCCCACACACAGAGAAGTTGAAGGGTAGGTTAGGCCACACCTATGGTCTTCCATACTTGGGCTTCAGTTAATTATTTTTTCTTTAAATGATAAATTCATAAAATCCTACATACATGTATTTATTCCTTAATTGAAAAATGTGCCCACATCAAAGAGTCACACATTGATATACATGGATGTTGTGTTCTGGTACTGCTGGAGATACCATACCTACACATGGTCAAGTCCTTTGTGTAAAATGATTCTGTATTTGCATATAAGCTAGGTATATCCTCCCTTGTTCTTTAAATCCTCTGTAGATTTCTTATAATAGCTCATATGATATGAATGCTGTGTAAATAATTGTTAAAATATTGTTTAGGGAAGAGTGACATACAAATACAATCTGTACATGTTTGGTGTGAACAAAATTCTCTTTGAGATACTTTCTATGTCTGGATGTTTGAACCATGGATTTGGAACCCATGGATACAGGGGTCCTACTGCATTTATTGCTGGATAGAATCTGCAATTTTGGGTTCCAATGAGTAATCATGTCCATTAAGACAAACATAAGTGATATGTGAGTGGGAGTTTTGAAATAAATTAGGAAGAGACCTACACCATACAGGGCATTTATGGTGCACTCTTCATTCCTGAGGATGTCAGTAGGGTTTTCTAGCTCTTCTCATATTTCATGCTTCTCTGGAAACTTCTAATTCAATCTATAAAAACATAGTTTTCCTCTGGATAAAGATTCCTCTGGTTTACCAGTTTTTTCTCTGCCTTACTTTTGTTTTCTGTTTAGCAAAGACAGATGTCTGCTGTCCTGAGAAGGTGGAGGAGGGTCCTTGGAGACTCCTGAAATGCGTTGCTACCCTCTTTCCAGATATCCTCAGCTTGTTCAGAGGTGACACAAAGATCTGCAGCTTTGAGTGAATGAAGTGTTTCTCTCTCTGTGTGAGTATTTATCCCTCTCTCCTGTGTTTTCCCATGGGTTTGTTCTCACCCAAGTGCTGCTAATGTTTGCTTGACATGATGATGTGTATAGTCAGCACATAGCCTGACAGTATCCAACCTAGCTGTGCTTGCCACTGAGTGCAGGACTTATTTCATTTCTCTCCCCATTTGGACACATGGGGATCCTGCCACTCACTCCCCCTATAAACGCACACAGCAACCAAGGAAGCTTTTTCCCTGGCTCCTTTACATGGAGCCATAGTGAGCTAGTGGGTGACAGCTTAGCGGAAGGCGCAAAGTCCCCCATGTGGAGTTGGGCTCATTAGCAGCTCATCTTTTCAGACCCCTCTGCACAGGGATCACATCTTGGTAGGCAGAGAGGCAGGGCTGGATCAGAAGCAAGTCGGGCCCCAGATTATTTTCTGAGCATTGCTCCTGGCAGAAAAGCTCTACACTCGACCTCATGCAGCAGCCTGCAAATTGGCCTTCAGAGTTTTCTCCATGCTTCTAGGAGAAACCAAACACATTGCAATTAAGGCTGGGCCAGGCATTCAATTATCCTGTTGCTTTTCTGCTTCCTTGGCTGCCCTGGGGTGAAGGGAGTCCCTTTGCAGCCACAGGGGCTCCCCTAACTTGATTGCTCTGCTAGGAGGGACACGCCTGCCATTTGAGCCTTGGAAAAGACAAGGCTTTCCAGGCAGTCTTTAAATGTTTCTGACTTCAAGCTGTGAAGATGGGCCCTCTTTCCTCATGGACAGAGTGGGGAAGAGGGGAGCCCTTTGTAAGGATAACTGATTGACATTGTGTCTTCAGAGATTCATTTATTCACTTAGTGAATATTTGCTGGGGGTTCACTCTGCTATAAACTGTTGTAGGCACATTGTGGTATTCATCAGTGAACAAAACAAGAATTTGTTCTCCTAGCATCTTGTTTTGGCTACTAGGTATATAGACACATCCAGAAGGGAATACTGACGATTGCCTTACCCAGACACCCCCAGGAGCTTCCTCCCAGTCTCCCATGTGGGTGCAGGGTCCCAAGGACCTGGGCCATCTTGTACAGTTTTTCCAGGTCACAGCAGAGAGCTGGATTGGAAGTAGAGCAGCCAGGACTAGAACCAGCGCCCATATGGGATGCCGGCACTGCAGGCGGTGGCTTTACCTGCTATGCCACAGCACGGGCCCCAGACCCCAGTCTGGTCTTCTTTGCTTGGGTTTCTCTGTAAATCAGTTTCTAGCACAAAGCAGGTGCCCAGAATGTAGCTGTGGACCAAATGAATGATTGTGAGCTTTTAAATAAAAGGGATTATACGTTTTATGGCTTTATATTCCCATTGCTTAGGTGAGTCTGTGTATAATAAGTGCTCAAAACGTTTGCTAAATGCATTGGTTCAGCAGATTAGGGGTTTAGCTATAGTCTTAAGAAGTAGTAGTTTTATGGAAAGCAGTAAGTTTAAGTATCCCCCAAATGAACATATTTCTTTTAAAGCAGTTTTAAGAAACCGAATGCCCTTGCCTTCTGGAAGGAAGAGAGTAATTTTTATTTTGTGCCTAGTGAGAAATAAGATATTCTTTTTGGCTCTTTTTTCTTTCCCAAAACCAATGCTTCCATTTTCAATACTGGACCAGTTGTCTGGAAGTGAAATTAAGCTGAGGGCTGAATTCCTATTCTGGGGCTTCCAGTCCATGTTAAGAGAACAAAATTTGGATTTCTGGTTTCGAACCCCTAGGTTGCTGGAGGTCAGGTGTGATGAGGAGGCAGCCATGCAGGGCTGGGGGAACAAGTTTACTCAGTTTCATTGCCATGACGGTGGCCACGGCTGGTTGGCTGACACCAGAGCATCCAAAAATGATGTTCTTGTGTAGCCACAGAGCCATGGAGCGATCACAAGGCTCCACTGTTTTGCAAGTGAAAGAAATGGAGACCTAGGAAGGGGAGCTTTCTTGGGTAATGTTGGTTAGCTGTGAACCTACAAAGTGGTTTTCTAGAACCTAAGAGGCATTCTCTGTATTTCAGAATACTTCCTAGTTAGCCACAAACCATTGAACAATTTCCTATGATCTTCTTGAGGATAAAGCCCATCTTCTCTTCCCGACTACCTTTGTGATCAAACTACCTTTCTTGAGCTCAGTCCATCACAGGTATACCAAGAGCAACAGAGAAATCATTCCCATGAGCTCCTCCAGGCATTGAGGTCCCTGTCCAAGGCTGAGTGACTGAAAGGTTCTGAGTCACTTAACTAAGGGAGTGATTCTCGCTCAGAAACACTGGACTCAGATTATACCCCATCTCAGTCTGGGTTCCCTGAAGAACAGACCATGAGACAAGGATTCAAGTACAAGAATTGTATTTGGGAGGTGATTCCAAGAGGCACCTGGAGGGCATTGGTAAAATGAGACTGAGATAGCCAGGCTTTATTAGCAGGTGCCTACCCCAGCTAGCTTCCACACTGGGCTCCTGGAGCTTAATCCCCAGGGGAACTCAGGGAGCCTGTGTGAAACTCACACTGCAGAATTATTGCACCCAAAGGCAAGGGAGCTGGGACTTCTACACACCAGCTCTCAGCAGTACTGCTTGATAGCTGTTGAGGGAAGGTGGTGGCAGTCAGCCCTTAGGCACTTCCAGCAAGCCCCAGTAACAGTCTTCTCAGAAAGAGAAGCAGAGGCCAGTGGCTGAAACCAAGCAATCTTATAGTAACATGGTATCTTGGCTTCCTAGTAATTTCTATTATTTTTCTGAGACTCAAATTTATTTATAATCTGGAGTTCAGAAGTTTGAAATCCAGGTGATAAATGGATCTATTCTTTCTGGAGATCTTAGGGGAATAAACCATTTCCTTTATTTTTTTCAACTTCTAGAGACAGGGGTGGGGAACCTTTTTTTCTGCCAAGGTCCATTTGGGTATTTATAACATCATTCACGGGCCATAAAAATGATCAACTTAAAAATTAGTCTGCTGTAGATTTATTGATTTTTGAGTCCTGCTTGTGGCTGCTGGGCAGGGCCGGACAAAATGATTTCACCCACTTTATATGGCCTGCAGGCCGGCTGTTCCTCACCTCTGTCCAGCAGCGTAGCATCTTCTCTGTCCACTTCCATGTCCTTCTCCTCTTTTGGCTCTGACTCTTCTGCCTGCCTTTTATGATGACATTGGGCCCACCCAGATCACCCAGAGGAATCTTGCCATCTCAAGACCCTTAATCATATCTACCAAGTCCCTGCCTATCTTATAAGGCAACATATGCAAAGGTTGTAGACATCTTTGAAAGACTGTTATTCACTCTGTTACACAGGGCCTGAGGCTGGCTCACCTTTATCTTGGGCAGGAGGGTGCTATTGGGAAGGTGCAATAGATACTGACCAACAAATAAGTAACACATTTCATCTACCAAGAAACATTTTCATACTTGGTTTAAAAACAAAGCCAGGGCAGGCATTTGCACTGCACTTCAGATGCTGCTTGGGATGCCTACATTCCATATCAGGGTGCCTGAGCTTGAGTTCCCAGTCTCCTCCCAATTCTAGCTTCCTGTTAGGGAGGCAGCAGGTGATGGTTAAGTAGTTGGGCCCCTGCTACCCATGTGGGAGACCTGGATTGAGTTCCTGGCTTCTGGCTTCAGCCTGGCCCACCCCCAACTATGGCAAGGATTTGGAGGGAATGAATGAATGGTAGGTGGGAGCTCTCTGTTTCTGTTTTTGTCTCTCTCTGCCTTTCAAAGACATAAACTAGAAAATAATAATTATAAAAGCAAAGTCAGGTGAGGAAAGCCAAAAGACTATGTGTCTTTGATCAGAGCCTTGGGAAGGGTTTGAGACCCAGTCCAGGAAGCCTCTGGGAGTCTATTAAAGATCTCACAGGATTTCCACACTGAGTTTACATCCCTCTCACCATTTTCAGCTTGTCTGGGGCACTTCCCACTGATAATTTGTTTGCCCCCACTTCAATCACCACCTCCAAAACCAAACACTTGGCGTCCAGATCAAATGTTCAGTGCACAATCATAGTTCTCTAAATATTTAGTGCAAGAAGAGAGGGAGGAAAAGAACGCAGATAATGATGAGGCCTGGTATGTTTGTGTTTGCATTCAGCTCCCCTGTGCGTAAGCCAGAGTCTTTATGCAGAAGTGAGGGACACAGTGTGATGACTTTGGGCCAACTCTGAGCACACATAATGAATTAATCATGTTTCTCTTGTGATGCTGATGTACAGGTCACCGAAGGTGGGAAGGGAGAGCCAGGGAGTCCCAGCCCCTGACTCATCCTGCACTTTGCTGCAGCCCAGGACAGGTGCAGCCCAGGACAGGGGCAGAGCTGATTTGGAGCAAAATGCTGAGTCTATGCTGTTGTGGGTTAAGCTCTCCCCATGGGCTGGTGTGTCCTGAATGGTTGGGTTTAGGCTGCAAGGCAAAGCTGCTATTATGTTTGCTCTGTGAACAAATCATAAAAGTCATTTCCTCAAATGACCTGTCTTGACAGAATTCCTGCACAGTCAGAATAAAGGCAATGTGCCTCCCTCGATGCCGTTGGTTCTGGTGCCAAGCTTCTAAGCCCCTCTGTGGCTTGCACACAGTACTCCCCCCCTCATTCTCTGCATTCATCACCATCAATCATCCTCCAAACTTGACCACTGTGATCCCGTTCCTTCTTAAGGAGCTAAGAGAAATATGCCTCAGTTGTGTGTGTGTGTATGTGTGTGTGTTCTTACTTATAAACAGAAAGCTGTGCTGTCCAAATATCAAATTTTGGCTAATGATAGTTTCTTTTAAATATAACATTGTGGGTAGGAGGCAAAACTCAAAGTCCCCATCAACCTCTCATGCCCCCCACATCTCCCACCAAAACAATTATTCACCTCTGTTGCTGATTATTTTTGTGATCCCGGCTCTGAGCTAGTACATGGAAAAGCTTTCTTAGAAATAAAAAATTAAAACTAGTACACACTTTTCCAGTTACTTTTTTTGGTGAAAACTGCAATTTTATTTTTCTTACTGCTAGGATTCCCATGATACCTCACGAATGCCAGCAAGGCTCAGACGTTCAGATTTGCTCCAATCGTTTGATTCAAGGAAAACTAAAAAGGAGATGAAGACCTGGGTCATCTTGCTCATGCCACACTGCAGGCTGGGTGCGGACCCGAGTGATGACCAAGAATTCCTATTCCATCTCATGGTTTGCAAAAATGTTTTTTGAAACCAAGACCCCTGGCCTGGCAGAGAAGGTGCTGCATCAAACCAAAGCATGTTTTTTCTTCTCAAAGTACAGGCAGAGATGTGAGAGTGTAAGAGGGGCTTATGTGAGGCTTCAGTGGAGATGGACAACTACTCACCTCTGTCACAAGTCCTTATGGTCCCTGAAAGGTCCCTGAGGTTCCAATTTGTGTGTGGTGTAGCCAGAGATGATGCATTCATCTCAACTTTGCCATTTACCACATCTGTGAAAATTTAAGTACATTTGAATGTTCTCAGCTTGGAACCCTGCAGAGTGGGATAAAGCTCCCTGAAGGATCCGGAAGCCTGAGTGTTGTCCTGTGACATGGCAGCTCTCAGGATAAGCATTGCAGCCCAAGCAGGTGGCTACACTGTGCTGTCCCTCTAATGGCTCCCCTTCTGCACTTGGGATGAAGTGTGAGTACTTACTGTGTGGCTCAGAGGCTCTGAAGACCCCCAGTGAAATTCGGCTTCTTAACTCCCATCACACTGAAATTGTATGGTCCTCATTTATCTTGTCTACATGTGCAAAACTCCTGGAAGGAAGGGATCCTGTTTCTCTCACTCACAGCATTATCCTCAGGGCTTAGCAGAGTTCCTGACACACATTAGATGAGCAGTCATTGTTTGTAGGAAAAATGCATGGCATCAAATAAATTCCTCCTTCAGTTGACTGGTCCCGTAGACAAATGCCTAAATTCAGGGTGATTTGGAGAAGCTTGGATCGCTGGCCTGGGTCAGACCATAACTTTGTCAGATGTGTTTTGAACCTAGATGCCCCTGCTGTGCTTAACTCTGTGACCTTGGTTAGGGAAGAAACAGTGTAGTGTGCTAGCAAAGGACATAGAAGCTGGCATTTCTGCTTGGTTTATATAAGTGCGTGAAATGGGCAGCACCTGCTTTTAGGCTGTGTCTTCACCACATGTGGGTTGGTGAACAATGGCAGAGGTTTCTTTTCTTTTTCTGGAGCAGGTGAGTTCAAGCTAGAGGATATCGTTCCCCTAAAAGCTGAAGAGCACCTGCTGCAGACCATTAGACCCATGGAGGGACAGAGTGCATGAACGTGCTGCTTCGCCACCCTTGCAGGTGCCCTTCTAAGCTGCTGACTCCTGTGCTCAAACAAAGCGCTGAAGTGGGGATACAATGTCCCTGCAAGATGTGATCGACTTCTGATGTTCCTGAGACAGCAGAAAGCCGACCTATGACACCCAGGATCCATTAGGTGGCTGTATTGCATTTCTTTCCATCAATGGATATCTTCTCCCAATGCAAGCTGTGAGCTCAGCTGCTCCCCAGAATCCGTCCCTCAACTGTGGGGAGAACAAACACCAGGAAAACCAGACTGAGGCTTCCTCACTCAGATCTGCGTGGTGACCACTGTTGTACGTTTAGTACACCTGTCTGCCAGGCAGTATGACGATGTGTTGGAACCTTCTTGTGGAACACAGCTGGGGCTGAACCTGTCTTCCAGACTCCATGGTGATTCCATGGCCTGATGCAGAGGCACAGAGCAAGTTCATGGCGGGGGGATTCTAATGCTTGTCCCATATCTTACACTAATTTGAGATAACTGAGATTGTATTCTGTATCATGGCTCACTGGGATGGAGTCTCTTTCCTATCCCATTGGCTTTGGGCGTAGTCAGTTGACTTGCTGTGGCCAAGGAAGATGGACATGACAGGATGCTACCAAAACAGAGGCTCTGTTGCTGCCACTGATCATTGTTGTTCTGCTTTTGCCAACTCCATGAGAAAAATATGCCTTGAGTGGCTACTGCAGACCGCCACAGAACTTCTGGTCCACCTGCACTCTTGTGAACAAGTGAATGTTTGTCATTGCAAGATACCGTGTTTTGAGATTGTTTGGTACTTGACATTATTGCAGCAATATCTGATTAGCATAAAGAGTTTCAAGTTCCTTAATTAATTATTCTTGAATTTCTCTTTTGGTGTGAGGTATGATTTTACTGTGTCTGATGAATCTGACAATGTTGTACATTCATGCAATCACCAACAAGCAATTGACTCTTTTCTATCACCCTCGAAAGCTTTCTCAAGCCCTTCTCCAGCTTTCTCTTTCTGAGAGCAACCACATCCTGTTTTCTAACGCTGTCATTTAGTTTGCCCATTCCTGAGTTTCACCCAAATGGAATCATACAGCATCCTCTCTTTGTGTCTGATTTTATTGATCAATATCATGGCTTTTTAGATCATCCATGTTTGTATCAGCAGTGTATTCTTCTGATTGCTGACCTGCTTTCCACCCTATAAATACACCACAGTTTGTGTTAGATCTACCTAATGCTAACCATTTGTGCTAATTCCATATTTTGGCTATTGTGAATAAAGGTGATTTATTTTCAATATAAGTGTTTCTCCTTAGTGTATATCTGGAAATGGTATTACTGGGTTATAGGGCAAAATGTTTTTCAAACTGGATATACCATATTACCCCAATCAACAACGTATTAGAGTTCAGTTCCTTCTACCATTGTCTTTTTAATTTTAACTCTTTGGGTAGCATCTCACTGTGGTTTTAGGTTTTCTCTGATGAACAGTAGTGGTAAGAATCTTTTCATGTGCTTATCTGCCATTGCTAGATCTTTATTTAAATGATTTTTCTATTTCTGATCTTTGCCCATGCTTTAAATTGGGTTTTTGGTCTTCTTGAATTGTAAGGTTTTTTTATTTATATATTTATTTGAGAAGCAGAGTTATAGACAGAGAGAAGGAAAGACAGAAGGAAAGACAGAGAGAGAGAGGTCTTTCATCTACTGGTTCACTCCCCAAACGGCCACAACAGCTGGAGCTGAGCCGATCTGAAGCCAGGAGCCAAGTACTTCTTCTGGGTCTCCTATGTGGGTGCAGGGGCCCAAGCAGTTAGGCCATCTTCCACTGCTTTCTCAGGCCATTAGCAGAGAGCTGGATCAGAAGTGGAGCAGACCAGACTAACTGGCGCCTATATGGGATGCCGGTGCTGCAGGCAGTCTTAACCTATATGCCATAGTGCCAAGCCCTGTGGAAGTTCTTAACGTGTTCTAGATATAAGTCCTTTATCATATATATGCATTATAAATCATTTCTTGTAAATTATTCTATCAATAACTAGAAACCGAGTGTTAAAATCTTTGTTATATCAGTTTTTGCTTTATGTTTTTATGTCTGTTATTTGATATATCTGTTAGGATTTCTCATGTCTTCTATAAGAATTTCTTATTCTATCATTATAAAATTCCTTTTTTATTTCTTGCAATACTTTTTGCCTTGAAATTTACTTTTGCTGATATTAATAAAAGTATGCCAACTTTCTTTGCTTTCTGTTTGCAAGTTAGATAATTTTCCCTTATTTTTAACTTCAATATATTTGTGTGATATTCAGAGGATTCTCTTTAGACAGCATAGCAAATAGCTGTCTAAAAAACTATTTCTTACATTTTTTGTCCTGTCAGATACTCTCTGCATTTCAATTATATTTTTTCTATCAAATTTAATGTAATTACTGTTGTTACTGAGTTTGTCTTCTTAATGTTCATTTTCTATTTTTCCCATCTGTTCTTTTTTCTTTTGCTTCTCCTGTCTTCCTTTCTTTGAATAAATCAAGTATTTTTCCCTGTATTACATTTAGTTTCTTCTCTTTATTTTCTTGATCTGGTTTATAAAAATATTTAAATGATCACAATGTATTTTCATTTGATGTATTTCTTCATACACACTACAGAATTTATAAGAAATAGAACTAAATGTACTCCCTTCTTGCCCTTTATGTTTTTGCTGTCATATATTTTACTTTTGGATGCTATAAACCTATAATATACTTTCATTATTTTTGTTTTAGTCAATGAATTTTATCTTTTTTTAGATTCTTAAATTTATTTGAATATCAGCATTACAAGGAGGGAGGGAGGGAGGGAGGGAGGGAGGGATCTTCCATCTTCTGGTTCACTACCCAAATGGCCATGAGAGCTGGGTCTGGCCCAGGCTGAAGCCAGAAGCCAGGAGCTTTATCCAGGTCTCTCAAATGGGTGGCAAGAACCCAAGTACATGGTCCATCATCCACTGCCTTCCAGGCACATTAGCAGGGAGCTGGATTGGAAGCAGAAAAACTGGGACATGAACTGACATCCACGTGGGGTCCCGGTATCACAGGCCACAGCTTTACCCACTACAGCACAACACCAGCCCTGGTTGATAGATACAAAAGCAAAATTAACATCTTATGATTTAGTTAATTTACTAATGTATTTTATGTTTACCCTTGCTGGTATTCTTCAATCGCCATTATGGATCTAATGATATTTTGGGTGTTTTCCCCCAGCCTGCAAAATGTCTGTCAGCATCTCTTGTGGCTCAGGTCTGTAGAGGAGTCTTCCTTTTCCCATTGCTCTAGTGGATGAAGCAGCCTTCCATCTCTGTTCTAGAAAAACCTTGTTACCTTCTGCACTTTACTTCAGTTAGGTTTCCTACATCCTCAAGTTTCTGATGTTTTTTTTTTTTAACTTTTATTTAATGAATATAAATTTCCAAAGTACGGCTTATGGATTACAATGGCTTCCCCCCCATAATGTCCCTCCCACCCGCAACCCTCCCCTTTCCTACTCCCTCTCCCCTTCCATTCACATCAAGATTCATTTTCGATTCTCTTTATATACAGAAGATCAGTTTAGCATACATTAAGTAAAGATTTCAACAGTTTGCTCCCACACAGAAGCATAAAGTGAAAAATAATAGATGATTTTTTAAATGATGATGAAATCAGATCAGACCTATTGTCATGTTTAATCCCAGTGAGAGTCAAGTTGGGAATTGATAATTTCATTTTTTTTAACAGAAGATCAGTTTAGTATACATTAAGTAAAGATTTCAACAGTTTGCACCCCCATAGAAACACAAAGTGAAATATACTGTTTGAGTACTCGTTATAGCATTAAATCTCAATGTACAGCACATTAAGGACAGAGATCCTACATGAGGAGTAAGTGCACAGTGACTCCTGTTGTTGACTTTACAAATTGACACTCCTGTCTATGGCATCAGTAATTTCCCTATGCTCCAGTCATGAGTTTCCAAGGCTATGGAAGCCTTTTGAGTTCTCTGACTCTTATCTTGTTTAGACAAGGTCATAGTCAAAGTGGAGGTTCTCTCCTTCCTTTAGAGAAAGGTACCTCCTTCTTTGAAGACCTGTTCTTTCCACTGGGATCTCACTCACAGAGATCTTTCATTTAGGTCTTTTTTTTTTTTTTTGCCAGAGTGTCTTGGCTTTTCCCGATGGTTTATTTGTAAAGTTTGATTTTATTTGAGGTGGGAAGGGAGAGGAGAGAGGAGAGAAAGAGAGAGAAAGAGAGATAACTTTCATCTGGCTCACTTCCTAAATGCCTGTAACAGCCAGAGATGGGACAGCCTGAAGCCAGGAGCCTGGAAATCAATCCATGTCAGTGGGAAGGACCCAAGTTCTTGGGTCATCATTTTCTGCCTCTCAGGGTGTGCATTAGCAAGAAGTTGGATTGGAAGTAGAGACTCAAATCCAGGCACTCTGATATGGGATGTGGCCTTAACCATTGAACCACAATGCCTATACCCATAGGATTTAAAAATGATTTTTAGGGATTTTTTTTTTTTGCTTTTTTAGTTAGGGTGAGATTGACAGTGTCACTTCCCATTATTTATTATGCAACTTCCTTATATCTCTCCCACCTTTCCTCCCTCCCAGATCATTCTTTATTCAGTGGTCATTCCCCCTTCTCTCTTGAAGGCTCCCTAAAACATTTCCTTCTCCGTGCTGCATCTCAGAATCCAAATAGATTCATCCTTTAGCCACACATTAAAAATGGGGTGTAGGTCTCATTATTCAACTGTTTCTAGACTTGAATTAAGAAAGAACAATCCAGGGCAAGCTTATTGCCCATGAAGGACTGATTTTCATTTTGATTGGTCAGTATTTGTGCAATGCTGGATTTTAAATATTTTTAAATCTCCTCACCAGGGATTATCAGTACATCACATGGTATCAGACTTATAATATGAATTCAGTACATATTTTTTGAATAAGTTAGGGAACTCCTAACTGACTGGTTGCATGGTTGGTACTGCCTTTCCAGATACTATAATCTGTTCTCTGCACTGGGCACAAAACTAAATGAGGTATTATCCACAGCCTAAAATGGAATCCTTAATGCATGTTGGACATTCATGTCTCTCATGCTAGCTTTTTGCTCTGGGCATTTGCTGTAGACCAATGCTGCATTAAGTGTATCCCAAGCACACTTGCTACACATTGTATCTCTCACTTTCTCCATCATTGTCATTATTCCCTGAACCCATCCTTGATCATTGGTGAACAATACCTAAAGGCTAAATACCCTTCTTATTTTCAGATGCATAATTCTAGGCCAAGTTTATTCAGTCTCTCAGAAGATCCATCCTCAGTAGAGGGAGCCCAGTGGCCTACATTGTTGGCCAGCTCGATAGCTACTCCCTGGATTGCTTTTGCTTCCTCTCATGTTTCCTTGTTTTCAGTCTTCCACTCTGTTCCTGGGATCACTCTCCAAAATAAATTGCTGAAGTATTGTGTTTCCTTTCTGAAACATCTCAAGATAAGACGACTTATAAACAAATAATCACAGGACAGTGTCATCATTGTGATATATTCATCAGGGAAAAGACATCTTAGGATTATTATTTACATAAAATTACTTTTGAGTGAGTCTTTTAGGATGAGTGGGGTAAGGCAACCTGACGAGATGGATAAACACATTCCATGATGACCGACAGAGTTGAGAAGGAAGGGTGGCAGCTAACCTCCAGGATGACCCACAATGAGTCCTACGTCTTGGTATGCAGTTGTTTAATCCTCTTCTCATCCCACAGTATACCAGTATTCATCTGTGTGCCTAATAGAATGGCCAAATTTATACTTTGTCTCTTCTAAGATGGAACCATTGAGGACTTCCACTTTCACGATGGGCTCTGCCCACCTTGGATCACATGCTCTGGGGCAATGCAGCTCCATGCCATGGTGAAGCCCATCTGATGGGTTCAAAGACTCTGGCTAACTGTCAGTGAGGGGCTGAGGCCTGGCAGTAACCATGTGAGTGAACCTGGAAGTGGAACCTCCAGCCCCAGTTGAGTGTTGAGATATCTGCAGCTCTGACCACTGGCTTGACATTAACCTCATGTGGAACGCTGAGCCAGACCCTCTAGCTAAGCTGCTCATGGATTCCTGAGCTTCATAGATAGTGTAATAAATGTTTGGTATAATTTGTTATGCATCAATAAATAACCAGTGCAGGGAAGTGATTGCAAGAAAGCAAGATACATTTTGGAGTTGTAAATGGATTTCTCAGGTCTTTTCAACTGTAAAAATTGTGATTGCATCATCATTTAGGCCAACATGGTTAAGATTAAATGCATTGCCTTTGGAGACAGACTATTCACAAAAGTCTTCCTTCTGGCATGTACCAACTTTGTCATCTTGGGCAATTTTCTTGATTTCTAAACTTTAATTTTTTTCTCAATTTGTAAAGAGTTTTAAAAATCTGAGAGGGAGAGAGAGACAGAGAGAGTGAGCTTCCAT